CAGCAGGAAACAGATGACACCTCTTGGCTGATAAAGAACATGCCTCATTTTAATAATCTGTTCCAATACCTTATCCTGCCATCTGAAGCCACTCAAAACCATGCCTGCCTGCTTGGTTCTTGCCCAATTTACTTTGCTTTCATTTCTGAATTCTAACTGCTTAGTTGGCTTTTGAGTTTCAGTAGTTAGGATTCTGACTTCTACTGTAGCCTTTCCTTTTTTTTTTGTCTTTCTTAAATTTGGTCTTGTTGCTAGGATTCTTAGGTGCATACAGGCTAGCCTAAAGCTTAAGAATTTGTTTAGTTTTAAAAACACATGAGAAAAGAGTATATTGCACAGATAATTGGCTGCGGCCTCTCAGATGAACCAGTTTGCTAAGGTAAAATTTAAGATATGCAAAATTTTAGAAAATAAATCCTCCATAGAATAGTTTTATGCTTTTTATGTAACCCCCTGTTATAGTTGTGTGTGTGTTTGTGTATGCATGTGTGGGTAAATGTGTTGATATTTAATTTTCAAATCCTCTTTTAGAATATGAACTCCTGAAGGTCGGGACAGTAACTTCCTCATCTTTGCATCTCCCTTAGCACCTAAGAGTCAACAAAATTAATTTAAACTCTGAAATTAAGCCCTCTTACCAGTAAGATAAGGATAAATCCTATTTTAAGAAGTCTTGGGAAATATATATTCAAAATACCCAGTAGCATGCTTAGCAAATAACAACTGCTTATCTTTAGTGCCTGAACTAGTCGTTAACTAGAAAGAAACAGAAAAGAATAGTTTATATTTAAAAAGAATAGAACATAGCTAAAAGCTCTAGTGATGATGCTATATGCACTCAAGATTTGCAACAAATACATTGCTCTGGTGACTGTAAACCAACTGAGCGTGTTTACTATAGATACAGCTCAGGCTTCCACTACAAGTCAATATAGGACAGAGTAAGAAATCTGGAAAGTAAGAAAGAATATTAAAGATATTTTTATAAATAAAATTTCAGAACATATTTATAACATCTACACATATAAAACTAAAAAGCTGCAGAAATCTAGGTAATAAATGACCTCTTCGAGTTTACATTTAAAATGGTTAAATGTACCTTTGCTTTTCCTAAAGTATGATAAACAAAAGTTAAAAACTTTAATAGTGAGATAGACGCAGACAAACTATCATTAGACCAAGGTGATGCACTATGAATGTGAATAAGTCAATTCATTTAGGAAATGGTCAGTGTTGTTTTGGCACTATATAATAAACAATGCTTTAAATAATTAGCAAGTATTAGAAAACTCTGACCCGTGATGAATGAGTGATATGCTCATAGTTCACTTTAGGGAACATAACAAAGAATCATTACAAAGAATTAAATTATCTCAGCTGAAAATTGTGCTCTAACTGGAGATCATTAAAGCCTGCAAAGAGTCTGAAAAGCTTTTTCCGACAACATTTTGATGTTTTGTACATTACTATTAAGTAGATCACGACCTAGAAAAATTTACAGGAAGTAATTATTCTTCAGGATGTTCCAGGCTCTTTTAAAGAGTTCCTAAGTGGCCTGGAAAAGTTAATGTTTCTTCCATGCATCTAATAGTAGGGCAGAGTAATAGTGTAGCAGCAAAATTCTATTGGAAAGATGGCTATTATTAAAATTTTAGAATGACGTATTTGAGAAAAATAAATTTAAATTTACAAAAATACAAGTTTCATTATCTCCAATTCCCTCGTTTGAAGCTTTTAGGTTAGGTAATTTCCTAGTTTGATTTCTCTATAGCATCTCAACAACCCTGGTTGTTCATTCTTTGTACATAGTCCTCTCAGGTAGAATATGGGATTGGATTATAAGAGTTTCTGAATATTGTTTGTCTTTAATGAGTCTCACCAGAAAACGACAGTTTATTGAATTGTGGTTTTCTGGTCTAAAAATTGATTATTGCAAGATACTGGACTAAAAATAGCCTAATTTTAGAGAAAAATTATTTTTACACTATCGAAAAGGACTTGGAAGAATAGACCTGTC